GGGGGTGGGGCAAAGGGAGAAGGAGAAGGGAAGCAAAGTCCCCACTGAGCACGGAGCCCAGAGGGGTGGGGCTCGATCTCCAGACTTGGACTCAGAAATCGTGACCTGAGCCAAAACCAAGAGTCAGACTCCTAATCCACTGAGCCACCCAGGTGCCCCCAGATCCTCCCATTTTTAACTGAATCATGTCCTATTGTATGGGCCAAGGGAGTTCCCCCCTCCCCAGCTTCCTAGTGAAATGGGGTATGTATGTGTTTAGTAAGTATCAGTTGAATTGATTCTGGTTACCCAGTTTAAGGAATTGAGAGGCATTTATGGGACAGTTAGGTTCTCCCTGGTCACATCCTTAACTGTGTACTGGAAACCACCCAGTTGAGCTTTGTTCCTTTTTTGTTAATGGTTATTTTTGCTTTCTGCCCTTAGCGTGGATGATTTGGCTCTGAGCATATATCCACCTATGTGCCACTTGACTGTGCGAATCAATGTAAGTACCAGCTTTGAGGGAATAGCTACTGACCTAACTGGTAGGATTTCACTAACCACTAGTATTTCCTTTAAGCTATAGGGAATATATTTATTTGTTACATTTGGATGCAAGTACAACAATAATGTCACAATTCTTACATGTATTTCTGCTCGATAAATATTTACTGAAGCCATGAGTCTTGGTAGTACTCTCTTCCATAACCACTTGGGTAATCACTTAGAAGAACCCAAAGACCTTAGAAAATGCTACTTTGAAAAGAAAGTCTGAATTACCACAGTACTTTAGGATCCTATTAATCTAAAGTCATTAAGTTTCTGAATTCTGGTGTAGGCAAAAATACATGTCCACAAACATACTCTGTTCTAATATAAACACATTGGGTGATTTAACTACAGAGGGTCAAGCTCTTTATAAAAATCTGGTTTTATTGTATTTTTTCAAGCCCTGGGTACTGTGCTAGAGAGAATTCTCTTGTCTTCTTTTTAGAGATTCAGATTATCTCTACAGTTATTGGAAAGAGAAGTAAAACTGCCAAATGGCTTATATCTTACATTCAGAATTATCAATCCTAGAAATATTTGATAAATTAGATGGTGGAAATTAAATTCATCAAATGTTTCTTCACAGTATGTGAACATCTTAAAGTAGAATAGGATCCTTTTGGTGGTAACTTTTTCTTTCCACATCCACTTTTTAAAAATTGACTTCCTAAGAAATAAACATCTTTAGCAATATGCCTTGCCATTTACCCCAAATAAAAATTTTAAAATGTGTAACATATATTGGTGGCATATGTATGTCCTCATGTTATCTTGTTATTGGTGTACTTAAAATTCTGTACATAGGTTTTTTTTGTTTTTGTTTTTTTTAAAGGAACACTAGCTGTTTCTGCTATATATTTGGAGCTATCCGCAGTTGGGGTAAATTCAGGTTATAGTCTAACTTTTTCTAGTTTTTTAAATTTAAAAGTATTAAAAAATTTTAAAAACTTATAGGAATGTTATAGCAACAATATTAATAGGATTTTGTAAATAGAGAAGAATCCTGTAATCCTACCACCCTAATCTAATCAGAATTTTTGTTTTTGCAGTTTCCTTCAAGGTTTTTTTTTTTTTAATAGTTCATTACTTGAGTCTTTTAATATATCTTAGCTCTCCTTCCCTTTTTATGTGGGGCTCAGGGTGAGTAACTTCTTTGTTTCTTTTCTAGTCTGCGAAACTTGTATCTGTCTTAAAGAAGGCACTTGAAATTACTAAGTGAGTATGAGGACTTCTCATCAAATAGCTTTTTTGAGAATAAACCCATCCAGTCATTCTCAATTCCTAAAGCCCCATTTCAAGAAGTGGAAGAAGGTGGGTGTGGTGTTTTCTTTCTACTTCAGTTGTGGAGCAGCTAAGTTTCTACAAAGAAATTTGCCTTGTCTTACTAGTTTCCTCTGTGCTCCCTGTTGAGAGTAGATTTTCCCTTGACAGTATAAATTTAACTGCTCTTTTTCCCCATTCCATTTGCAGAGCAAGTCATGTGACCCCACAGCCAGAAGATAGTTGGATCCCTTTACTCATTAATGCCATTGATCATTGCATGAACAGAATCAAGGAACTCACTCAGAATGAACTTGAATTGTGAGTTTTCAGACTCATTTGTAGTCTCCTCTCTCCTTACTATCACAGGTAGCCTCTGATGTCTTCTTTTAAAATGGGGCTAGAATGCTCTCTGGATCAAAAGGGAATTCCTGCCCAAATTTGTCAAGAGACATTATTACCAAAGATTGTTGGTTAGGACAGACTGACAATTATTTATAAACTATACGAGTATGTTATCTTTTTCTGTGCTAGATTCAGATGGTAATTGCATGAGTTTGTGTTCCTGAATCGCCTTTCAGAGATTCGTGTAGAAGCTGCCTTATTCCCTATTTGCTATAAAGTGTGTTTCATTGTTAAACATGTTGATAGTCTTAATAAAATGCTGACCTGCCGATAATTCAATAAGTACCCTTCCAGAGTTTCTTTCTACCAGAAATACAGTGGGTTGAGACTAGCACATTGCTCTTTCATTTGGATTTATAGGTCTAAACGTCTGATTCTGATCAGAACTGTATTCAGAATAAAAACACCTGACTTTATTTATTTTTAAGATTTTTATTTATTTATTTTGAGAGAGAGAGGGGGTGGGCAGAGGGAGAAGCAGACTCCCCGCTGAGCAAGGAGCCCAGTGCGGGACTCGATCCCAGGACCCTGGGATCATGACCTGAGCCGAAGGCGGATGTTTAACTGACTGAGCCACCCAGGTACCCAACACCTGACTTGATGACTTCAAAGCTCCTCTCAGTGCTTCAGCAATTACATATTATTATTCTTACCATTAAGTCCTTCTGAATATTATTCCATCCATGTCTCCAAAATTATTTTTTAGTATTGAGCTCATTTGTTAGGTTTGTCCACTTTATTGAACAGGTTTGTTTTTCTTATGCATACTTGTATTATTGTTCTGTTACATATTACATCTGTTTCCAAATGTAAATACAAAATTTTTATACATCAAAAATTTGTAAATGTATAAGAGAGTTTATATAGTTTTAAGGGCCTTTTCAGTTAATCCTTTTGCACAATCATCATGACTTAATTATATTTTTGCATTGGTCTGGAAGATCACATATTGGAAAGCAAGATAAACCTGTATGATGTGTATTCCGGTGACCTGACTTAGCCCTTATGCCTGTACTGCAGGTCTCCACAACATCTAATGCCAGTCCTTTTCCTTGCGTGGGTGCGACTTATCCCATCTGCCCTGCTGATGTCCCCAGGGTCTTTTTAGGTATAATCAGCCACAGCATTCATTCTTCTGAGCAATTAGTGGGTACTTGGGTTGAAATTCCTTATGTCAAATGAGTTTTAATTTACTTTTATCAAGTGCCATTTTATACTTGTAATAAGAGTCATAAAGAGAAGGAACTAAATTCAAACTGAGAGAGTGCCATAGCAACAAAATAACATAAACCCCAAAAAATGATAACTTTGTATAAAAGGAGTCCAGTTCTTTTATTTTTTTCTCCTAGGGCCTGTTTTCTATATACCTAATAATTTTCATATTTCTCTAGTGGACCAAGTTCATGTTATCAACATCAGACTTTAATTATGCGCTGATTATTGGACGTTTAAGCGGGAAGTTCAGGGGCCTTCACAGTGACGTTTCTGTAGTTGGTTACGTTCTGGAACATATCGCAGTCCATTTCCACAGTGAGCCTCTGGAGTCCCACCTGTGTTGGTGTGAACTGGAATTCGGTGTGCAAGGTGTTTCCAGGCCACACGGAAGCTAATCTGAAATAAAGGAAAAGGCAGGTGGTAGTTCTGTCTCATTGCTTTGCTAGTCCCAGTGACTGATCCTTCCCTGCTTGAAGAGGTGAACTATGAAGAAATAAACATTTAAGTACCTTGCTGTTGAAACAGGAGGTTTTAAGGAGCCTCCCTATGGCAAATGATTACATGGTTAGGAAGAAAAACATCCTATTCTAAGGGCTTCCAAGCTGCATCTGTTATTTATCACCTGTGACTTCAGTCTGGTCCCACTCTTGGTAGTAGTACTGGGGTATGTTTGGGAAGGCTATGGTTTTGGACCCCTCACATTGCTAAGTGCTGTAAGGGTACAGTAGACATATACAGAAGATGTCAGTATGTTAACAGGTGGTGTTTGACGTCCTATCAGCAACCTTCCTGCCTACTTGTGGACCAAAAACAGGAGTAGCACAGATTTCCTTTGAGGAGCTTTCCCCCACAGTTGATCTCGGATACCACAAAAATGTAGTTAAATGTTGGCAGTCCATTCTCTCAACTTATTGGCAAGAGTGATTCATTGAGTTTCATAAGGCTGAGGCATTGGCTCAATAACAAGACAACTACCAGGTATTTCAGGAGTAGGCAGCGTGAACTCTAAACCGTATACTGTGTTTTCAACAAAGAATGTGGTGGACACAGTGAGAGAAGAAGAGATAATGAAAGAAGATACTTGCAACATCTGAAACCAACAAAGGACTCATACGGGGAACTCCTACAAATCAACAAGGTGGAAAGGCAGAAACACCAAAAGAAAAGTGGGCAAAGATAAAAACAAATCTTTTACCAAGGAGGAAACAGAAAAGGGTAATAAACATGAAGAGTTGCAAATTAAAACAGTAATGAGATATTACCTTATTTCTCTTAGACTGGAAAAAAAGAAAGCTGAGTATTGCCAAGAGTGGAGAAAAGTGGAGAAATGGTAGAAACTCCTGTACTGCTGGAGGGAATGTGGACTTCTGCCATCATTCTGCAGACAAATCTCATTAATCTTGGGTCCCTGCCTTTCTGACCAGTTGAGATGTTTCAGTGAGATGAGAAGCTTGTCTCTCTCTCTCTTTTTTAAAGATTTTATTTATTTGAGAGAGAGAGAGCACAAGCAGGGGTGGGGGAGGAGGGGACAGAAGTAAAGGAAGAAGCAGGCTCCCCATTGAGCAGGAAGCCCACATGTGGGGCTCAAACCCCAAGATCATTACCTGAGCTGAAGGCAGATGCTTAACTGACTGAGCCACCCAGGCGCCCCAAGAAGCTTGTGGTCTCTTACCTGTACCTCCTCTCTCTGTAAATGAGCCCCCTTCCAAAGAGGGAGATCACACAGTCCTTCATGGGAGCATCTAGGAAGTTATGGAGGCGGACTGAAGCCTTAAGAAGTTGATATTGCTCTGCTGTCTCTGGCATCTGTGGGAAGAGGCAAAACCTGGAGCAGATGCAAAGAGCACAGGGCTACAGTTACTGCTTCCCCTCCTAGGCGCCCTCCTTGTACTCTCCTCAGTTACTCTCCTGTCTCTGCCATCCGGACCCAAACTTCACACCTGACTTCTTTAGCTCTCCACAGGTCTTCCTGCGTTTATACTTACCCTTGCCTTGATTCATCCATGGCCATTTCTGATGGTGCCTCTCCTCCTCTTAGAAACCTTGGAGGGGTTCCCATTGTCTTCAGAATTCAGCTTTGGTTGGCATTCAGAGCTCTTCATGGTCTGACCCCAATCCCCTTTTCCAGCCTCACCTCTACTTCCCTTGACTAAATGACATCCCAGCACCCCTCTCAGACTTCCTTTGGGGCCTCTGTTCAGTCTTCTGCCTGCAATGGCCTTCCCCAATCTCTGCACTAAAGCTTACCTATTTTTCAAGGCTCGGCATAAGTGTCTCCTATTAAGCTTTCCTCAAACCCACCAGCTGAAATTAATCCCCTTACTTCACTTATGCCATAATGACTTTGTACTCTATTGAAGCACTTACATAAAAGACCTAACATTGTGTCTCATTTACTTAACTATAACATAACCTCGTTGAGGGCTAGGACCAGATCACATTCATTTTGGTCAGGGTAGACATGTGGATAGAGGACTAGACAAGAGCCATAAGCCTCTAAAACATCCCATTTTCATGGTCATGGGTATGATAATCTCTAGGACTGTTTCCTCATCTGTATAATGGGAATAATTCTACCTCACAAGGATTTTGTATTAAAGAAAGAAGGTGAAAATACATTGGCATATGTATAAATTGCTAAATAAACGTAGGCTAGTATTACCCAAGTATGAAGGCAGCAACTGGGGAGGCCCTGATTTTTAAAATATTTATGTAACCAAAAAAAGAAGTTGGAAGATGTAAACCTTAATAGCATATGTAAGAAACCATCTCAAGAGAAGAGCTCTCAACCTAGCATTTCCTGGTAATCCTACAGCATAGTTGTTTGCCCTGAAGGTTGAGGGGCTCTGATTCCTTCTGAGACAGGAGCAAACGAGAGTGATTTGGGGAAAGACTGGTGCCTACCTCAATGGTAAGGTGTGGTCTACAAATGGCGATGTCTTCCTGAGCAAAGCAGCTAAGGCTGGGCTCAGACTGTGTTGCTGTGGCCATGACAGTGAGTCTGAGGAAGCTGTTCTCTGGTGGGCTTTGCTCAAAATGGAAGAAGGCCAGGTTTTTGATGATTTTGTTAACTGAAACAGGACAAGTGGAGTCAGTGCAAATCATGAAGGTGTGTGCCCGGGAAACAGGCAATATTACACACAATGCAAAGGAGTCTGTATCTCACTGAAGCCAGAAAGATGCCTTATTTCTCATAGCAATTTCAAACTTGAACTCAGTCAAGACCCCACTCCCTACCACCATCACTGCCTCCAACTTTCTTGACAGACCACCACAGTGGGGTTGTTGAAGGCCCCGGCAAACTAGAACAAGTTAAGCTCTCTGGCCTCAGCTTCCTTGTTTAATAAGAACGCCTACCTGGTGGGTGGCTTGTGTTAAATGAGATACTGAGTGCTTAACTCAGACCCTGCCACACAGTTGTTGCTGAATATATGCCCTTAGTTCCTTCTTATTCTCTGCTTTCTCCTTTTGCTGGGAAAATGAAGGCATCTTTCACTGTCTAGGAATCTTCTCAAGCTCATGTTCCCAGTCCCAGCCTGCAGACATAGTCATCTACCCCTGCTCCCACCATCCCCAGGAAGATGAGATGTCCTCCCTCCCCCAAGTATAAACCCTCCACTTTTTAAGTCAGTGCCCCATCCTGACCCTACCACTGCCTGCTCGTTAACTTTGGGGCAAATTATGTAACCTCTCTGTGTTTTGATCTCCTCATCTGTAAAGTGGGGATAATAGTAGCTGCTGCCGCAGAAGGTTGTTGTAAGGGTAAATGAGACCGTGTGTATGGAACACTTAACACTGTGTCTACCAAAAGTAGGCTACAGTTATTCTAGTTGCCTCTCATGTCCCCTCAGGGTTGCACCATCAGTTATAACCCATTTTTCCTGAGGCTTCAGGCTTTCCCTCTCTGTTGATTGTTTTCCTCAGCATGTAAGCAGATTCTGCTCTCTCATCTTAAATAAGCAAAAAACCACCCTCCCTCTACCCAGTGTCCCTGGCTGACTTCGGTCTGTTCTTCCAGGAAGGATTGTATACGATGTCTTGCTTCCTCAACTCTCCATCAGTTT